CCAACCAGCTCCGCTTCTGTGGATGTGAGGTGTACAGATGTCAGGTGGTTTGAGCAACTGTGAGGAGGGGAGATTTGTAAACGGCCAGTTCATACACTTGTTTATTCATGAGCCCTTAACAAGCCTCAGGCTGTGACTGGTGGGATGGAGGTTAGATTAAGACCTTTTTGTTCTAAGACCTAGACTCTGATCCCCTTCCCCTCCATTTCAACACTGTAATGATTATCTTGCATTGTGTACCTACTGTGTGCTGAACCTTTTACCTATGGTTTCCCACTGAGCCCCCACAAACAACCCTCCCACACATACACACACACCCTGCTCTTTGCAGATGTGACTGGCTTAGTCTCAATTGAACTCCAGGCTGCGGGGCCTAGTGGCCTTTCCCCACCACGGCGCAATCTTGGAAGCGACATCTGTGCAGAAGGCGCGGAGCGCTGCAGTTCCCGGCGCATCCGCCCGCCGGCCCGCGGGGAAAGCAACCGTGGGGACCCCGGGCCCGAGCCGCGGGGGGAGCAACAGCTGTCGGTGTCGTGCCCGGGGATTGCGCCCCCGCGGGGCCGTGCGGGCGCCGGGGCGAGAGGAGGGGCGGCGAGGGGCGGGGCGCTCGAGGCGGGGCGGGCCGGGGGAGGGGCGGCGGCCCCGGCGGCTCCGGCTCGGCGCGCCGTGAAGTCCCGCTCGGAAAGCTGCGAGCGTCTGCAAGAGGCGCTCGGCGCAGTCGGGGAGCCAAGTCCGGAGCGAGGCCACGCGAGCCGCCGCCCCTCCTGCCACGATCCAGCCAGGGAGCCCGCGGCGATCGCCGATGGAGTTCACTTGAGCCGGGAAGCCGGCGGGAGAGGCAGGCGCCCGCAAGCCGAGCGCGGGCCGGAGCCGAGCCAGCTCCGGGCGCCCGCGCAAGCTGTGGCCAGGAGGCGCCGCCAGCGCGCGCAGCCCGCCCGCCCGCACGCCGGCGACACCCGCACACGATCAAGACTCCCGGAGCCGCTCGGCGGCGGCGGCGGCCCAGGAGCTGTCTGCCCCGCGGCGCTGCTGGAGAGGCGGGCCCGGCTGTCCCGGAGTCTGGGGAGCCGCCGCCGCGCGCCCTCCTCCTCCTCCGCCCTCTCCCTCCTCCCTCCCTCCGCACATGGTCTCCTTTGTCCTGTCGCCGCCGCCTCGCTCTTAGCTCCGCGCGCCGCGCCGGCGGCTCGGGCTGCTCCTCTCCGCCTCGCTCGCCGGTCCCTCGGTTCCCCGCGACCCCCGCCTTGCCGGCCCGGCCCGCGCGCCGCAGGAGAAGAGGAAGCAGCGGGCGAGCGCGGGCCGGCGTCCCGGCGGGACTCGGCCGCCCTGGATGTGCGCGCGCGGCGCTGGCTCTCAGCCGCCCGGAGGCGCCGCTCTGCTTCGGATTTGCTTCGCGTGCGGACTTTGGCGAGGAAGGAACCGAGACTCGTGCAATCTCAGCCGGGCTGGAGTTGGGCGTTTTCTCTGCGTGTTTTGGTGCCCCCCCCCCACACCCATACCCCCTGCGCTCTGATGATCGCCCATCATCGGGAGCCCTGCTAAGGACTCCAACCATGAACTTGGGGCTGACAGCACCGCTTAACCCCTTGCGACCAGGTAATGCAGCTGGGGGCGCGGCTCGCTCGCTCGCTCGTCGCCCACCGTGGAAGGGAGGCGGCAGGGTCGCGGGTCTTTGTTGCGGCGGCCGGGCCGCGGGCAGGGGTGGTCGGTGGCGGGCTGCTGGCACCCGGAGCGCCCGAGCCCTTCCTCCTCCTGCTCCACCACCTCCTCCTTCTCCCTCTCCTGCTGCCGCCGCTGCCCTCCCCCTCCGCCCGCCTTTGTACTTTCCTCCCTCGCCCGCGGGCTCGGCCCGGAGCTACACGGTGCTGCGGGAGGAGGCCGGGCCAGCGCGGGGAGGGGCGAGGCTGGGTCGTCCAGGCTGGGCCTGGCGCTGCACCGCTTGTCCCGGGGTCGGGATCCCAACGCGCACGCCGAACCCAGGGATTCGAAAGGAGAGCTGGGCTCGGGGTCGGCGTGGGTGGAAGAACTCGAGCGTAAGTTTCGAAGAGGTTCCTCTTTTCCTGTTGGAAGCGCCTCTTCCTGCGGGTGTGGGTGCGGGTGCGGATGCAGAGGCCCCCCCCCCCCCGGGGTCCGAGTACGGAGGGAACGAAGCTGGACCTGCAACCCGACCCGCCGGGTCTAGCCGAGTGCACCGCAGGCTTTTGCTCCTTTTTCCTCCTTCTCGCCTTTGCTCCTCCGATCTGGTTTGCTTTAACTTTCTTAAAACGCCAACCACCTCTTCTAGCTTTTTTTTTAAATATATATTAATATAAAAAGCAAACATGTACCCATCCTCCCAACACACACGGACACACACACACCCAAAAGCCCAAATGAGAGCTTTGTTTTTCTGGGAGTTTTGGGTTCAGCCTCCTTGGCCCTTCCTTGCCCTCCAAAAGCTAGCGTGCAGAAAGCAAGGGCGAGCGAACGCGTAAAGTGCGCAGCGCCTAGAGGTGCGGAGCTCGAGAGCAGAGAGGGCGACTCCTGGCCGCCAGCTTGTCCTTGCTGAGTTAAAAAGAAAAAGAAAATTAGCCAGTGAAATGGGCCAGGTAATAGAAGGAAATGCACACTTTAAAAAACAGTCACGAAAATGGAAACAATTTGCACAAACGCTTTAAAAGTGTTACATGAAAGGAAAGTTCATCGAGCGAAAAACGAAGGATGTTCCTGTAGCTCTTTTCCGACTTTGCAGGACTGTGGTCACCCTGGTCTGAACCACCTAGGTGGGAGGGAGAGGGACCCTGGATCCTTCTGTGATTAACCTTGGCCCGGTTGCATTCATGTGTCTCTTTGGGTGTTTTTCCACCCAGGCCTGTTTGAGACGCCCCCTCCTCCCCAGTTACCAGAGGCATCATTTCATCCTTTGTGACAGATATCAGAGAAGTAAACGGCTGGAAAGCTTTTTATTACAAGATGTACTCTGAATATCCCGTCAGACTTATTTCCTTGGTAACTTACTGCTTGGTGTCCTAATAATCACGTCGTGCCGATTTGAGAACACCTTGTAGTCTAGTGCAGCTCCCTTACAAGGTAGCAGTCCCGTGGAACTGCAGAAGCAAAAGGGCTTGGCACCTACAGTCCGGGTACACAGACCTGGTGCAGGCCAACATTTGAGGAACCGTGTCCTTTCCTTAGCTAAGCTTTTTGCATTGAAGGGCAGAAATCTTTTGCACTGTTTCTCTGGACCTGTTAGATTTGCAATAGGTTATCTCAGAATTTTCCAAGGTTATTTCTGTTGGTAAAATGATTTAAGAAACAGAGTTGGTTTTTTGTTTGTTTGGGGGTGGTTTTGAGGGGGTGTGTGTGTTTGGTTTTTTTTTGCCATTTAAAGAAAATCAACTGTGTTTTATATTTTGAATTCCAAGCCATTCCATAAGATACTTTTTCGTGGAAGAATGAGAAAATGTCCACATTGCTAAGTGTTTAACTGGGAAACTCACATGTCTAGAAATCTCACTTATGTCAGTGTAACACTCTCCTTCTTGTCATTTTTGGCTTTCTGACTCAATGTTCTTGATCTGTCCTGTGCAAGACTTATTTCTCCCTCCCCAGGCAACACTTTTAGGGTATTTTTTGGTTTGGTTTGGTTTTATAAAAAGCTACTGGCATATTGTTTTTTTTTTTTTTTTTTTTCCTGCAAAGAAGGAAAACCCTTTCTAGGATTTATTTTTAAACTGTGCATGTGTAACTTATTTTGCACATACAGTCTTTTTTTTTTCTTTAATCCTGTTAATCTATCTCTGACCACCCCTATGGATGGAAGATAAGAATGAAAATTAGGGGGAAGTAACCATAGTGAAAAATCACTTGTCTTTTTCTGTCACTTGCGCTGAGAGCTTGAGGACGTATGCCACGTACTCAGGAATATTTCACCTTCATGTGGTAGCACTGAATGACTATATAGACTATCTTCTTTGTCCTCCAAAGCCAGCCTAAGAGTTTCCCCCTCCCTTATCTCCTATATTTCTTCCTTTCATATTTATTGAACATCTGTATTTTGCTTTGTCAAATGTACATCTCTCTGTGTGTAAAGTGTGAGAGAAGTAATTTATCACAAGGGCTATTTAGCAAAAAAAAAAAAATCACCAACTCAGTTTAATTGTTACGACTTTAAATGCAGATATATCTTCAGATTATATAATGCGGTGGTTTAAATTCTGATGTTGCAAGTCCTAGAAATATGTAGTGCTTCAGAAACGTGACAGCATCTTCCATTAAACTGACTTGACGTTTATTTTTCAGAACATTAGGGTATAATTTAAATTGGTGTTAGTCGTGCTATTTAAACAGGCTTTATTTTACCTTCTTCAAACCAGTGTAGTGATTAGCAGACCTGATCTCTAGAAAATGGGAAGGAAAATAATACTGGCAGCTTGCCTAGTGGTTGGGTTTTGGGTAGGTCGGCTTGTGTCTTATTGGAACACCATGGACATCCTGGTTACTGAAAGAAACAGATCTTTGGGGGTTCACCAGATGAATCTTTAAAAAAAATTTAATTTGGGGGACTGCTGGTTGGCACCGTAGTGAGGAAATGCTTAGCATTAAATACTAGGCATTTCTGATTTGTGGCTGAATAATAGGCACGCCTGCAGATACCCTGCAAAAAATACAATTTCCAAAATAATGATCTGTCAACGAAATTAGAAAATCGTTATGCGAATGAGCTGAATTGCTTTGTGTATCATCTCGTAGAAATATGTTTTGCACAGATAATATGTCTAATAAGGACACATTTTTAAAATCAGAGTTGTTTTTTTTTTTTTTTTTTTCTCCAGCAAATAACTGCAGTGCAGGTCTCTCTCAGGCAGTCAGTTAGCACCACCTTATGGATGATGTTGGGAAGTTACTACTTTCTCTCTTTGGTGTTCCTAAACTGTAGTGAACTGATTTGAAATAATAGTAATGGTGTCTGTAGTGACAGTACTAATGGCGGTCCTAACTCTTTTTTCCCTCTTGCTTTTCAGGCATCAGATACCAGCTCTGAGAAGCTGTTTAACACTGTTACTGTAAACAAAGGTAAGACTCCTAAATTCTTAAAAGTAGTAGCTTTGTTCAGTTTTTCTCTTCTTACCTGTGACAGACTCTGGATGCTTTTGTGATGCATGAAAAAAATTGGCTTTAAAAGAATATACTGAGTCTTTATTTAAATCACTAAGAAATCGCTACTATCTGTGTGGCTTTAATTGAACGTAGGAAGCTGTCCTAGAGACGCACAGTCTCCAAGTGCTTTGATTGTCACTTACCAAGCACTCAGCTGCAAAAGCACTCTAAATAGTCTGTGTGCACCGCAGACCCATCACCACCAGTGGACTTTTAATATTCCTAGTATTATGGTCATAAACCAAGCCCTACTCTGCTGTGGGCTTCCTGTACAGTTAATAAATGAGCAAGAGGGCAGAATTTAAATATGCACTGTCCCATTAATTTCTTCCAAACCTCGCTCTGGAATAAGAGAGGCTAATGACATAGCAGTACTCAAAGGGAAGGCATGTCCTAAATCATCCCAGGTGGGTTTTGTGGGAATTTTCATTTGTAGCAAGATTGTTGGAAATAATAAAATCGGGGGGAGGGGGGAGAGGTGTCTGTAATTATTGGCTTAGAAAGGTGTGTGATTTGAAAGGTATAAATTATATAAACTAATCTTTCCTTTTTCGATATAGCACTTGATTTAGGGGCTTGCAGGATAATTTCTAAAATAAGGAAGACATACTTCCTGTGATAATCTATGTTACCCTATGGAGGTACCTGCTAGGGCTGAGACACAGAGCTGGGCCCTGACGGAATGAAATGTGAGGTCACCTCAGCATTCTGCTGTTGCCTTGGCTAGTATTTCTGCTGGCTAGTTAGTAAGACATTTCCAAGTGCAGATATTTTGGGCTCCCAGATCATTTTGGAATTTGAACCAACTGCAATTTTAAATAGTACATTATGTTTCGAGCTCCCTTGAGGTGTGTGCTGCTTTGTGATTCTTGTTACTCCCTGAATTACTGTCCTATTGAGTTTTATCTTTTTTTATTGCATAATAGAGTTCCAGTTTTATTTTTCGTCATATTTTTTGATGGAGTGAAAGTTTGGATAAATTTGTTATCCATACTGCTAAAAGCCCGATAAAAGGAGATACGTGCTGTTCGTAGCATGCAGTGCTCAACTGCATACGGATGCATAATTGTTGGCTGCTTCATGCTGATATAGGAAGAGGACTGGTAGACAGTGGGGTGTCCACGAGAGAAGGAAAGATTGCGGGAGGGGAGACTGAAGCAGGACAGACCGCTAAAAGCCAGGCTTCTGTGGTTCTGTGGCTCCTGGACAGCCCCATGGGACTGTCTTTCTTTTTACTCATTTGCTATAATAAGCTTTGGAATGTGGCCCTGGGCCCTGCAAGACTCTTCAGGGCCAATAAAAAGTGATGGGTGGATGAAGAACCTCCCCTCGGCCTCAACCCTGCCTCCCGCCCCCACTCCTGTTCCAATCAAGCCATTCCCGCATTCTTATTTTTGTTTACTTACAGAGAGTGATTTGTGGCATCTATTTGATTGTGAATAGTCATCCCCCTGACAGGGTGCCTTTCTTCTGAGCTGCTTTTCTGGGGGTGATTTAGTTGCCTTGAAAGGATTAAAGTCTCTTTGTGTACACTAAAATCAACATAGGCTTTTTTTAAGCTTTACTTGGAAAACCATACACAAATAAGCATTTTAGTTGACAGCAGGTTATCCCAGTGCCCCTTATTTCCATCAAAATGGCCTTTCTTTTCTCCTCCGAGTTTCCTCTTAATGCCTTATGCTAATTCCTGTTGGTAACATGAATGACAAGAGCCAGAATCAGTGCAAATCCAGGTGCTGCAAAGTCGCTCGCCTGGTCCCCAGCACCGCCCCCCTCCTTGGAGAGGAGGAGATTATGGGGGGTGGGGGGGCGGGAAGCCTCAGGACAGTTTTGTTAAGGGGATTAGTATTCAGACCACTAAATATCAGGAAAACAACTTCAGAAAGGGATTCATTGTGCAGCCGTAATGTCAATAATTGCTTCAAGACAGGTGCAGGGAGTCTCTTCAGTGCTTGTTGGTTTGGGTCTGTTTTTACTCCGGGTAGTGGCGGTGTTCACTGGATGGATGGTTGACAAGGCCTTCAAGGAAGTGTCAGCTTCAGGCTCGTCAAGTTCAAGTTCTCCTGCAGAGCAGCCTGCCTGCCTGCAAGTTAGGTTTCCTGTCTTTGTCCACTATCTTTTGCCAAAAGCAATAAAAAGCGTTGCAAGAAAGGGCAGATTTACACCAGGTAACAAACACTGCTGGGAATAGCCTCAAAGCCTGAGCCTAATAGGACTGCCTAACTTGAGTGCAGGGGGTTTGACACGGGTTCCTTCCACCTGCAGCTGTTTACAGCTGGGTATCACCTCTTCCTCTCAGGAGCCTGCAGTCCGTGGCCAGGAGAAGCATGGCCATCAGCTGCTCGTGAGATAATGCTGCTGAGCCTGGTGGCGGCTGATTTGGTCCATAAAATTTCACTGTGGGAGGGCACTGCTAATCTCACAAGCTGATTGTGCTGGGGTGGACTGCCTTTGATGTGTGCCGACACAGTGTGGACATGGGGCTCCCTGTCAAAACAGCAGGGGCCATGGCCCCCCATGGGCCTGCTCCTGCCTGAGCTTGAAGAAGACATTTAGCCTCTGTGGGTCAGAATTTCCAGTCCTAACAGAACCTACTCCCGGGCCAGCACCTTTGGTGTGGGTATGGATAGGACAGTTAATTGGGAAGGGGCAGTGATGAGAACAGAGAGGATAACAATAGATGTGTTTTTTTATGACATATCTATTGATTTTCTTTCAACTTCTCCTGTGTTTTAGAGTTCATTCAGTGTCACGGACAACTAACAAGATCTTTTGGTTAGGTGTTCTGAAATGTCGCTTTCTTTTGATGCCTTTTATTTCCTGTTTTAAAACAAGTTCATCAAATATCGTGTGCCTGCAGGTACATACAACACTCCCAGTGAGAGCTGGGCATTTCAAAAGGTGTCTCCTTGAGGCTCCAAATTGCAGGGATTAGTGCCGTAGCCATAAATCGAGTTCAACTGTGATCAAGGTCATGCTTGCCTTATTTAATCTTCATGTGTTTAAATGTTTACAGGATGTTCATGTGAGTTTTATGAATCCTTCTGTCTTTGTGACTCAGCCATCTGCCAAAGAAAAAAAATTAATTTTCCTTCTGAAACAGAAACAGAGACTAACTTAGTGTTGCTGTGTAGTGGGGTGAACTCCTGGAGGAGCAGCAGGTTCTGTACCCCAAATTCTGGAGCATGAATCATTCCAAGGAACTTTGTAGCCCATGCCAGTGTTTATTTCCCTTCTCACCTCCTGTAGGTCTCTTTCTTGGTGGTCCTACCACTTTGATGTGTGCACAAAAGTGCAGAAAATGAATGCTGCTCTGCCAACTAGTCATCCTGTCAAGATAATTAATCTCTTCTAAAACTCCTTGATTGCTCCAGAGCTGAGTGGGGCTTGTGGGGAGGGGGAAGGAGGGAAGCCCTGCGGGGAAAGGAAGAAGAGCAAAGGTCAGGTATTTTGTGCAACCTCCTGTTTACAAGACACCAGGCCTGGTTGTATATCTGTCTGAGGTCTAGGCCAGGGGAACAGATGAGGTCTGAATTACTGTACTTCCTTGCCCCATGTCTCAGGGTTCATCCTGCAATCCAGGAAAGATGTAGGTAGACAATACCAGGGTCCAAAGGTGTATTTTACCCCATGATTGACTTTTTTGCTCCTTCTTTCCTTCATCTTTGACTCAAATTATAGAGTCGGGACTGTCCCAGAGAAAGCCACTAAGCTAGCTAGAAGAGAGCTGAGCCTGGCCAGTGGCATCTCTGAGGCTGTATGGTAGGAGTGAGGCCTCAGATTTCTGTTCCTTCCTGCTGTGAACACCCAGTATCTGCTGCAATGTGAAGGAGAGAGGATCACCTGCCTAGAAAGGACCCACCTCCCCTCTGCACATCAGCCCTGGGGGATTCCAAGAGATACTTGCCACCATAAAGAGCACCAGGCATATGGCTCCAGCCACCTTGAACTCGCTCTCTCCTCTGCCATACCTATTCGTGGGACACACCTGGCCTCTTCTGGGGTTGATTTTGTGCTGAGGAGTGCTAGTGGGACTCACATGGCCCTTAACGTTAATGGGCCCTTTGGACATTTTGGCAGTATGGTTTTATCAGCCTTGGACTGGTGGAACAGCTCAAGTGGTAGAGTGCCTGCCTAGCAAGCATGAGGCCCTGAGTTCAAATCCCATGCCGCCAAAAAAAAAAAAAAAGGTTTTATCAGCCTTGTAGGAAGAAAGTCTGAAAAGGCAAGAAATAGTTTACCCAGAAATATTTCCAGTTTAATAACTAGTGCCTTGTGATTTCTTTAATGGCAATGGTGTCGCCTCATTTGTTAGATTTAGACTGCATTTGGTAGCCAAAAAAAAAGGTAAGAGTCACATTACCTCTAAGACCACTGTTGCTCTTTGACAGATGTCATCATCTCCCCGAAAGCAATAATTCCATGTGTGAAAATGCCGATGGCTGTGGCATGGCTTTCTTAAGAAAAAGCTGTGGTTTCAACTTTCAAATTCCTTTGTTATGAACATATGGAACCCATTTCACAATTCCTTGTCCTGTCTTGGACTTGCTATAAGGAGGGCATGACACAAAGCACGGTCCAGACTGCACTGGAGTAGACCAGGGGCCGGTTTCAGCTTCTGTAAACTAATTGTGTTTTTGCCACATTTTCAATCCCAGTTAACGGGGAAGTGGAGTATTACCACATTCTTTTCTCTCCTGCTGGACTTCTGTACTATTTCACAACATTTTCTTGGGTTTTTAAGAAGATAGAGATGTCTGATGTGTGGAAAATTAAGCAGGAGTGAAGGCTAATTGGTGCTTGATGGAGAGACAAAGGGGTTATGAGTAGTGAGTTCCTTCTCCCACCCACACTGCAAGTACCACACCATCAGCTCCCTTTGTTATGGAAACTGACCTTCCTATAGAAGCTGCCTC